TCAATGTGCTCAAATTTATCATTCACTGAAATTAATTTTTTTTCAATCACTCAGACATCTTCTAAATTTTCTCCATACCTTCATACTTCATTGACAAAGATCAAGACACTTGTGAAATAATCCTCCATTTTTTGGTTCCTTTAGTTGAAGTGCCTAAAACTCAGCTCGAAGAGTTTGAAGTCTAGCATTCTTCATCCTAGCCATGCCTCTATAATTGACTTGGAGTACTTCAAATGCTTGTATAGAGGTGGATGCACAGACAACTTTCTCAAAACATGCCTCACCTAAGGCTTGAGAGTGCTTTCTTGTCCTTCTTTCTATTTTCTTTCAACAAATCCTATTGAGTTGTCGATAGAGTAACATGTTGTGGCTCGATATATCCTTTTTTCAACTATCTTCCCAATATCTTGAGAACCAAATAATACCTATATGAAGACTCCAATTCTTATCATTCTTCATTGTGAGACGTGGCACTTGTAAATTCAAACCTCTTGTCATCTTTATATAATATTGACTCTGATACTAATTTGATAAAAATAAATATATATGTGGAGAATATAAAGAGGTAAATGAGAAATTTAAGTGGACAAAAAAAGAAGAGGAAATTTACTTTACATTCATTCTCAAAATAACAAGGTTAAATACCTACTTACACTTATATAAAGATCATTCTAGAAATATTTCATATACTAACACAATCTAGAAAAGTCTACAATCAAATTTTTTATATTCTAGCAAATATGGTATACTGAAGGACACTTTACCAAATACATTATTATAGATATTTTTATTATTTAATACATTTGGTTTAATTCTAAACAGTGAATCTCTTCACTGATTTCATCATCAGAAAGAGTTAAGGCTCTAAAGCAAAATTTCTTAAATATGAAGCAAATTTGGATTAAAATGTCTCAAATTTTTTTTATACTAAATATCTTGCAAGATAAAGAATTAATGATAAAGAACTAAAAGCATATCATGAAAAAAAAAGTAAATAGTAAGAACCTAACAATTTTATATGGTTAAAAACATGCTGCCTATATCCATGTATGTGCAGTCACACATGATTATATTTTCTTAACCACTCTTTAGCATATAATATTAAGGGGAAACAATCCTACAATTTTTAAATTATAATGGTAAGATACCGTCACCTTACTTTTGGACAAAATAACCCTTTAAATCTTCTCTAAGAGACTTTTTGAATACAAAAATGAAAGTTTTTGCATGGTATGAATGCCTTAGTCATGCATATATTTGAATGTGAAGGTGACATAATGTTGGAGAGCTCTTAGATCAATGATGCTTATGATCCTCATGCGCTTATTTTATTTGTAAGGAGTCTTTTATAAAAGAAAACTTTGCTAAATCACATTCTTTGGACAATTTGAATGGGGGCACTAAATGGGTTAAGAAATGGAACAATTAAAACAAAAATAGTTATTAATTACTTCATAATTGAGCGGTGTGTTGGAAATAATTATATGTAAGCAATTAGGTGCTGTGACAGGTTAAGCCTTGGCAAAGAGCCATTAGGGTATTTCAAACAGCATGTTGGAATTTATAGCTAATAAGTTTGTTACTATACGGACCTGACTCTATTAGTTAGGCTGAGACAAAATTTAGCTTATTTCCATTAATAATTTAGGTCTAGTTTGAGAAAACTTTCATACTATTTTCTATTCTAGAAGAAGTTTATTCAGTTAGCAACTTATTTAGTTGTTATGATTTTCTTAAAAACACTTTAAAAAAAGACCAATTTCTTCGTATTTTAAAATGTTGTTCTTCTTAAACTCTTAAAAACTAACTTTCTTGATAGAACTTCTTAACATATTTTAACAAAAGGAAAAGCTTAATAAAAAAAGGCTTAGTGCATTTGACCCTAACGTCCCTTTATAAGGAACCGTTGTTGTCCTATTGACTAGCCACAAAGTGAATTGTAAGCCTTTGTTTTTAGTAAATAATATTATGGAAGAGCTTTCAGAAAGCAACTTTAATAACAAGTTTAAGGAAAAATTAATATAATATAAAGTGTTGATAGTTTACAATACTTTAGATTTAAGAATTATTCAACGTTTTAGCTTGATTGGACTTAAAATTCAATTTAATCAGTATATGATGAATAGAGCTTGAATTGAATCTTTTTTTTATATTTTGAACAATTCAAATTTAGTAATCTATGGGTTTATCTCGAATAATAACACTAAAATAAAATTATAGGAAGATTCTTATGTACTTACATATCTAACACCTAAAATTCAATTTTTACTTGTATTCCACCTAATTAATAGAAGAATAGGCTTCAAGCACCTTCAGCTCTCTCCATACTTTCTTTCTCTCTCACTGCATCATAGATCCTTGTCTTCTCCAGAGCCTTTGTTGGAGATCTCATCGAAGCCTCGCTCGGTTAGGGATTAGGTTTCTAGTGCATAAGGAGTTTTATATTAGCTTATAACATGTTGTAATGACACTTTTACCCTCTTGTAAAATTTCAAGTATATGACTCCAATGTCTATATAAAGCAACTTTGTATTCCATTGCTGTCATCATGATCAATAAAAAGGATTAGTTAGCACTTATCTTTTTCAAGCTTCTTCTCTGTTATTCACTTCTTGTTCTTCTCTTTGTTATTCTAAGTTAGTATCAGAGCCTTCCAAACTTCATGATATTATGGATTCAAGCACTTCAGAATCAATACAAGAAGGATAGCTACTTGCAATGGCTCATACAAGATTCAAAGAGATAAGTATAGTTACTAGTCTAAAATTTGTTATGTCTCAAGTCAAGAATGTGACTAACGCAAGCCTAACCTAAAATAACTACCAAGTTTGGAAAATTTAGATCTCAAAACTGCTAATAAAAAATGGTTTCGATTCATTTATAGATACCAAGGTGACTCATCCACCAAGATTTGTTTCTAATGCCAATGACATAGTTTTTTAAAATCAGGATTATCTTCTCTGGTAGATGGTGGACTGAAATCTAGTTGCAACCATATTCTCTACTATTTCTCCCTCGTTTCCCTATATTCTTCATCTAAACAATAACGCCAAAATTTGGCAAATTTTAAAAAGAAGATTTCAGTCATCTAATAGATCTCGAGTTATTCAATTAGAGAGTGAACTCCACAACTTCAATATGGAATCAAGCACAATGACACAACATCTAACCACGACCAAGAATTTAGTTATTAAGGTTTTAATCAAGAATTGAGTTATTTAGTTATTGACTGCAACATGTTCCAAATTGAACAATTAAGATATCATACTATATACCTTGAAGAGGCTAACCCCAAGTTATCAAGGTTTTAAGACGACCATTCGAACAAACTTACAACCTCTGTCCCTCAAAGATGTCTATGCATTGTTGCACAACAAAGTATGCAACATTGCCAATGAAGCCACAAGAATAACACAATATGCTACTCTAATTAGTTTTAAAACTAAAGGTGGATACAACTATGCAAGAACCTTTGCAAAGAACACAAGAAACATCTAGAACACTCAAAATAATAACTTTACAAAGCCAAGGACCATCATTGTTTTTCAAATATGCACCAAAAAGGGGCATTCATCAACTCAATGTTGGCATAGAGCTAATTTACAATATAAACCCTCTTTAAACTCTACAATAACTACTCTTACAACTCAAGCTCCCTCAAAGATACAAGAGTGGATATTGGATAGGGGGGCCACTACTCATCTCACCCCAAATTCAGAGTGTCTACAAATTCCTCAGTCATACAAAGGAATAGAACAATTTATTGTCGGCAATGGCCAAATTTCAAAAATAATGCATGTGGGAAATGACCTAAAACTCTCTCCACTCTTTTTAGTTCCTCAACTGTCACATAATTTAGTCTCTAATCACAAACTGGAAAAGGACAATAATTACACTATTCTTTTGATGCTAAAAAATTTCAAATTTAGGATTCCGAAACTCAGAAACGTCACCTAATTGGACATCACAACTCTCAAGACCACAACTACCTCCACAACAGGGCATCAACAACTTGGTCATCCAAATAACAATACTCTCTCCATAATCTCCCCTACCTCAATAATCTTCATGTACTTTTAAATGTTCAGATTATTATCAAAATAAAATTTATAAATTACCATTTCAAAATAGTAGTACTAAATATTGTAAGTTTGAAATGATAGTTTTCAATACTTAGGGCCCTTTTTCGCATCCTTCAATTGAAGGATACAAATATTATGTAACTTTCATCGATACTCTTTCTCGTTATTGTTGGTGTTTACATCATAAATATGAAAATACATCTCAATTTATTGACTTACATAAAATGATTCAAAACCACTTCAACATAAATATAAAATATTTAAGAACATATATAGGTAGTGAATACATATCCAATGAACTTAAAATGTACCTTCAAAAAAATTATATTAAACGTCAGGTTAATTGTCCATACCGACATATCTTAGAAATGGCTAGAACTATGCTCAACTCTTCTTACCTACCCATAAAATTTTGGATGGATGTGGTGCTTACAACCACTTATTTGATAATTTGTCTTCACTCTACTAACACAAATCAACAATCACCCTTTCAATTGTTTTTTTTTTCAAATCATTCCTAAATATAAAAAGTAAAGTTACGGTGTTAGATATGTAGAGACATAAGAATTGGATGTTATGTATTGGTTCATCGTGTCATAATGTTAGCAGATGGCTCAACTCTTAATCTTGATTTCATTAATCTAGCAACTTTCATCCTGCATTAAAAACCTTAAAATCTAACTTAATAATTCATTTTAGTTAATCAAAATGAAATTTATTTTTTCATCTTCGGTCTACCAACCGCTTTAACTTAATAATTAATATGCCAAGGTTTTATTTTTATAATCTCTTCAAAAAAATTCTAACAACTTTAGATCATGAGCGTTCAGTCAAACTCACATTTCATTCTTTGGATAAATAAAGTTCTAGTTATTAGCTAAAATATCAAGTCATGCAAACATCCCCAATTAGCCTTTAAATTCCACAACATCCCTTTATTCTCAGAATTGTTACACATACATAGAAAGCATAACACAATGCACGACACAGTACTTTATGATGCATATAACATATCATTTTTTTGCATCAAAGAACCTAATAAACAATATAACAGAAATAGAAGATAGTTGATACTTATTATAAATTAAAAGACGTTTAAATAGTACACAATATAATATTAGAGCCCACTTTATTCATAAGATAAAACCAAAAGTTCAATAATTTATGCTAAAAAGCTTCATAATTATTTCGAACAACTGCCTTCTTATCATGATATATTCTTATATAGGGTATCTTGACACAATTTACTTTCTTATTAGTTGATCCTGCGACAATTGAGTCTGATTTCCCCTTGAGTTCCGGTAAGAGGACTTATATTACCCATTTTAATAATAGCATTAGAAAAATCTTTGAAGAACTTCCCACTATTATGTGCATAGAAATTTACTTGAGCATCAGTGAAATTTCCATTGTAGAGCTCTTGATCAGAATGCAAAAGGCCCTTCTCAACTAGCAAATTCTTGTAGTAATAATTATCAAAGTTGGTAGGAGTAACTGTGTCAAGTGGGGCTAGGTTGTTGTCATCGGTACTGGAGATGGAGCAGTTTACTTTTAAGGTTGAAGCAAATGATGAATCAATGTTGGTGTCATTGTAGATTCGATTTCTATATGAGATGCACCTTGCTTGCCCAATTGTATGTGCCCCTGCAAATCATATAAAAATTTAATTTGTTAGAAATATTAATCATTTTGTGTCTGTTCTCATGTTACCTATGCAATATCAATCACTTCTTTTAATGGTTAACATAAAAAACCCAATTTTATTGAAGAACTTGAGAAATTGTTGCTGAAAGAATGGTTTAAAAATGCTTTCCCAATAATATCCCAACACAACCAAGTATTATTTCTATAATGCTCAATATTGCATATCTAACACCTAGATTTTTACATTATAGGATTGAATTACTTTTGATCCAACTTTTTACGGAATAATTCGATTATGTATTGATGTCTAATTACAATAAGAAAAAAAGAAAATCTAAATACAAAGGTAACTAATCACCTGACAGTGCTACCATTTCATTAGCATTCAGACCCTTCTTAGCGAAAGCTGATATGAGGCGAGTGAGATTTGATTGTGGCGCTGGTAAGTCTGTATTAGCCTGGCTGAAATTTGCAGTTAATGAATCCCTTCTTCCAAGCGGCACAGACCAGTATGGCCCACCTAACTGAAAAACAAGACTCCAATTGTTTTCAGTATATAATATATCAAGCAATCTATCTGTCTATAAATATAGACATATATATATATATATACATATGATCAATTGTCTTTTCTTCATAATGCAAATTTTGTCGCTACTGAGTACTATGCTAATCTCCAAAACTGTGTTAACTGACGTTTTATGTGCCAAGCCAAAGCAGACTAAGAGAAGACAAATTTTGTAGAATGATACAAAATTTATTGTACAATTGTTTCATTCTTGGATAGACTTGCATTTTGGTCACTTTACGCTGTGTTATTCTATGAAATTGGGCTATTTCTCCATCATAATCAAATGTTTGTCTTAACACTGATTAATTATCAACTTAACATTATTGTTGATTCAGAACAGAACCACTTTACTATGGATTCCAACTAAATGATTGTAATATTAAATTAAGTATTAAGTTATGCATATATATTTATTCCACTGGTTGAGTTGCACTTTTATAACTATATATATATATAAACATATTTTAACAAATAAAGAAAAAAAAAACAAAATTAAATTGATTTTAGAAAACAAAATAATTATTGAAATGCTCAAATTTGTTTGATGTGTTATATTTACGTCACTTACTGCAACTACGGAGTCACGTGCAGCAACTGCTACAATATCTGCACAAGATACTACTTGCGGACAAGCATTCTCAACATTTGCTTTAATGGTATCGATCACATCAAATCCCCTCACAGAATTTACGTTGGGAAAAGCTGTCTTCTCGCCAAGGAATGTAGGAGTGTCATCCAAGAGAATAGAACCATCACAACCCTGCCATTCAAAACATAAAGTAAGTTTTTTTTTTCTTTTTTTTTTTCATTCTGCTTTCCCTTCATGCTTACACTACAAATATGTGCTCTATTTAGAAGAATTTTTCATAGTTTATGAGACTGTTTTGATTGTTCTATGTTGCATGATTGACAATTTTTATATTACACCTTGGTCATGCTGATATATGCTCCCTAAGAAATAATATTTAAGACGATTTGGATGGTATATGGTAGCAAACTATATTGATGTATCTATATCTTTTTATTTATATTTTTCTCTATTTTAAAATAAAAGTTATTTCATACTATTAATTCCTTATTACATTCAAAAACAAAACGTTACATACTGCAACCTTCAAGCTCATAATCAATCAAAGAATCATCAGACTTTCATTCCCATCATTTTCAACTAATCTTTATTCATTTTAAGTATCACGTCAAGAAATAAGTTCATGTTTGTATGCATGGCAGGAAAAACTGTCTCTAATGAATCCAAGGAAAGATGATTAATTAAGAATCATAAGAAGAAATGAAAAAGCGTGATTAGGGTTTAGGAGACGTGCATCGACGAAGCAGTCATGGAAATGAAGACGGAGCAGCGAAGCTCCCATTCGTTTCTCGTTGTTGACGGCTGCATTAACGGTGGATTTGATGATTTGTAAAGCTTGTGGGCATGAACTGGCGTAAAAGTTTGTGGACAGTTGAGCTGAAACAAAACCAGAGATCAAGAGGATAAATATGATGGAGAAAGCAAAGCTGATCTCTTTTGAAGCCATGAGTACTAATAAGTTGATCTCTTTGAGGTGTAGTTGAATTCGATATTTGTTTCAGGCTCATTTGCTTGCATTTTATAGGCAAAAAGCAACGGCTCATTTCCAATTATGTCATATTTTATATTACAATATTCTGATATAATCGTATACCATTGTTAAAAATATTTATAAGATAATTTGAATGCATGTACGTGTTGAGCTAGTTGTTGAACAAGCTATATGAACCAAATGAAAGGACTTAAAAATTCCGTTAAGACAGGATAATGTTGGATCGCTAAGTTTTTGGGACTATTCGATTAATTATGTCGAGATCTGTTGCACACAATATTATTTTTTCATAACAATTGGTATCAGAGCCAATGTTCGGATTTGAGAAAAAGCGATGGCTGTAGACGAATTGAATGTATCAGGGATCGAGAAGTTTGATGATAAATTTTAGTTACTGGAGAATGCAGATAGATGTCTACCTCTATAGGAAAAAACTTCATCTCACGTTCTTGGGGAAAAGATCAAAAAAGATGGTTGAGGCTAAATGTAATTTATTGGATCGATAAGTTCTGGGGGTTATTTGATTAACTCTATCGAGATCTGTTACACACAACTTCGTTTTTTCACAACAAATAATAGGTTGCAACCATATTTCTCTTAGTTCACATGGATGATTAAGAAATAGAACTAAAATTAATTGCAATGCGGATTCACCTAATTTCTTGGCCAATAAATAGTTAGATCTTACGATCTAAAATTCCGACTTTTACAAACAATATGAATGTTATCCTGCGTAACCAAATTAGATGAAATTAAAGGCACGTTTACCACCTATAAAGGTACATATAAATAGAATACCATGGATTATCCTACATATATATGTACATACAAATACAATACCAAGAATTATTTTGGTATTATTCAACTAATAATTAGTTCGGGAAATTAACTGTTCGCATTTTCCCGAATTAATTAGCTGCATCGATAGGATAGCAAGTCATCGAAAAGTGGTTGCTTCGTACTTCTAAAACTGGTACGAAAGGAGAGATATTGTGATTATTTCCCTTGAAATGTCGTATAATTTGACAAACATACATATACATAACTATTCTGAAACTTTCAGAAGGCTGCTTTGGTTTGAAAGTTTGGCTTCATTAAAATGACTAATCTTTAATTATGACAGCAAAATCATCCAACTAAATATGAATTATCATGTCATACTTAAATTTGAGATTAATGGAACTATATTCCTTTTCAACAGATGTACAATTAAGATTAATATTTTAATGAAACAAACTCAATCAACTCAAATGTGACTTGGTCCAGGTTCAGATAGACCCAGATCGAGCACTTAAAAAATAGTTGAAAACATTTTGAGGGACGAATCGGTTTCCAAATCATGTGTGCTAATTGCTAAAATAATCGTTTTAATTAGAAGAATCAAATGAGACGAGAAATGATTAATTAAGTTGTTACTGGGATAACTAAATTAAAAGCTTTAAAAATGATTTTAAATTGATTTGATCAGTATGAATTATTTAGAGATTTTAGCAAAAAAATGAAGATAGTGTTCTCAAAATTTATAAATAAAACCTGATTTCTAAAATGAAATTGGAGATGAAATTGGAGAATTGAGTTGAGGCTATAGAAAGAAGTACCTTGAAATTGGCACCAAAGATCACCACTAATAAGTATTGTCTCTCAATCATAATGATATACTTGTTCTCAATTTATCACAGTCATTTAACTATGATCATTTTATCACTAATGTTTCACTACCATCACCGAACCATGGCTAAAAGACTTCTATCACCCAACAAGTGTTGCTTGACTATTGTTTCCCAACTGCCTAAACACATAGACGTCTACTATCATCAACAAAACTAACGCATAGCATTAAATCAATGATGAGTTACTCTATCAGGAAGAAAGTTGATGCATACACACTATAGAAAATAGGCTAAATAGCGTTGGAAATTACTTTAGATTTTTTCCTAAGCAAACATTAGCATTGGATTTATGTCAATTTACCAGCAATTAATGATTGGGAGAGTTAGTGTTGCTTTTACTTCGCTAGAAATCATTTGCATTGATGTTAGCATCAGAAACTAGTTACTATTATGCTTTTATTTAATAGTGTTCATCAGGCCAATGCTTTTTTTTTTCTTTTGTGTTGGACATAGCCGACACAAACCTGACGATGATACCCTAAAAGTCAAATTTTGCAGTGCAGACTCTCATTTGCTTCCCTCCCTCTCTCGATGCTCTCTTCCCCTTCTCCTCAAAACTTCTGCAATTCCTCCCCCACTTGCCCATAAACCCTTATAAGTCCCTCCCCTTCTCTCTATTTTGTAGGTGACCATCGCCTCCGACACCTAATGGATGACAGGCAACCATCGTATTTGTGAATGAACGCACAACAAAACCACCACATAACAAATACCTGAAACTCCCATTTTTCGCATCCTTCCACTCGTCTCCTACCCTAAACTATTGTGTAAGGTAATTATTCGGGTTATAATTGTAATGCAATAACCCTATTCCATCCATTTCTCAATTTCTCACTCAAATATAAAAATTAATGATAAAAACCCAACTCATACTTTTCATTTTAATCAAATTCTCAATGGATTGATTGTGATTAGCGTATATGCATCGATTTAGTGGCTAAAACAATCAAATGGGTTTTGTTTTGTGAATATCAATTATTCGGGCATTGGGTATGTAATTTTTACTTTTTAATTATGTTTGATTTTTTTTTCTATTTTAGCAGTTGGAATGGTTTTTAAGTTTGTCTTTATATAGCCTTTGAACGAAGATTTTTACCAATTAGTTGAGAGAACTATAGTGCAAAGGATATAGCATTGTGATGCTCAATAATTTCATTACAATGCCAAGCTCCCAGTCTGTAACTTTAGCTTCCTTCTATGATTAAATCATGGGATTATTTTATAGAAACATAAAATATGGGCATGTTTTCATTAGAGTTAAACACCCAAATCATGCGTAGACAACAACTAGGAGCAAATCTCTCATGTTTCATATTTTAATTCCCAAATATCAATGCTCGTGACTGTTCGAAGGTAATAGTTCCTTGATAACTTCATGTTCCCTTGAATCATGACGATCTCTCAATTGCCAGACACTTCATAGCCACACGGTAAGCTGAAGTCACAGCTCAGTAGTTGATCGGCAATGGTTGGTCGAATATTGTGTTGTAAGTTGAAGGTGACTCTACCACTAAAATGTCCTCCATGCTAATATATTGCTTCTCTTGCTTGCCCCATGAGAAACTCGAAGAGTCCTTTCTCTCTCTAGAAAAACCAAAAAAGGCAAAGCCGGTGGTGCCAACTGGTCGGTTTTTAATCCAATTTTGTCAAACACCATTTTGAGCAAGATGTTCACTAAGCTTCCTATCGACCAAACTACCACCCACTTAGTAGTTGTTCATTAATGTGGTAACAAAGATCACGTCATTATACGCATTACCCTTTGACAGAAGGTCAATATCTATAAAAACAATCAGAGGATGGTTATGCTTGTAAGAAGCAACAAAACATGCCTCTCTCGATCGAACCCACTTCTGACTGGATCGATGAGATGACTCCACCTACCCTGAAGATAGCCGAAATGAATCCCGCTATGTGAACTTTGTTCATTCTGACCGGTCCATCTAATTGATCTTTAGCACACACCTTTCTTTGTTGTCGTGTTTGTCCCCAGATAGCGACAAACTCCTTGAGCTTCCCAGCTCTGATTAGCTCCTCCACCAAGTTTCGAAGATAACAACACTCCTCCATGGCATACTCGTGATCATGGTGCTAGTCACAGTATTTGTTCGATTTCGAAGCGTTGGTTTGACCTTCATTGCAGGAACTTTCCTGAAGTACTACTTATTATGTGTGGCTGTAACCAACTCAGCTATCGAAACATTTAGGAGGCTTGAACATTGCATCTCTCAATAAATCTATGGACGCTCGTAATCCTATGAAAGTCACTGGTCAGAACAGTTACTCTGACCTTGATTCCTCATTTTGCTCCTGTTATTGCGGGGCTTTCATGCCACAAATGACCAGTGGGATTTTGGCCATCCCTTAGCTTCATCCCCTCGTCTTGATCCTTTCTCTTCTTAGGCTAGGTTCGGTCAATTCTGGTTTGGCAACAGATGAGTTCGTAGCTTTCTTAGCATGAATATGGCCATCTCCAAGAGTTTGAGGATGGAAATTGGTTCGTGCAGATTCAAATCATGCTTAAATCGTTTGTCCCTAACCTCCTATGTCAGATTATTCTAAGAGATTAAAGGCCATAAATCCTAAATCTTTAGCATTTCCTTCTGAAATTGATTGATGTAAGAGCTTATTCTCTTGTTCTCTCCCTGCTTTATCTGAAGCAGAGATTGAGATTCTTCCTTTGCTTCTTCATATTGGCGAAGTGCGCCACAAAGAGTTTCTTGAGTTCAATGAAGGTTGGAATGATACCAAGCAGTAGATTGAGAAACCACCAAAAAACAGTCTCCTTAAATGTCGTCTAAAAGAGGCGACACTTCAAAAAACTGCTAATCGACAGTATTCCAATTGATGATTCGAAAGAAGCCAGGTGGTTAGTCGAATCACTTTTCCCCATGTAGGGATCTAGGTGAGGAACCCTTAACTTCGTTAGTGGCACTGCCTCTAAAATCAGCCGAGTGAAAGCACTGTCAAGGTTTGGCTAAAGAGGTGCTTCAGCAAGTTCTACCCAATGTCTAATCATCGGCATAGATCCAATGCTGGCCAATTGTTGGGAATCTTCTTCTCCTTCAGTCACGTGATTGCTTACAAGCCCATTGGGCATTGGCGGATGCTCAGGGGAACCCCTTGAGGGCGAGAACTCTGAGATCCACTTCCAGGAGAGATGGTTGCCCATTCCTTTCACATAAATGCTTTTCAAAGGGCCTCAAGCTGACCCATCATCTGTTTTTGTAACTCTTGGACTTGCTGCTGAATCATCTGGTTCACTAACTCCCTTATGAACTCCATCTACGCATCATCTCTCTATTGTGACTCTCCTTCATAATGTGCTCTGCTTCTTGTCTGTGGCATGTTAATGCTCACCGCACCATCTTTTAGGATG